GTATCTGGCAAGCGCACCGAAGACGCCATTTGAAGCGTCGCCAGAGTCATCCGGAGAGCGGAAGTCAATTGACAGGCGGGGATCGTCTAGGAGTCCTTCCCGTAAGATCGCCCAACGAACGACCGGCGACAGCCACAAGTCGCACCGCAGCGTTACTAGTGTTAAGCTGCGCAGCGATGACCCAGGCGTCAGAGGAATCTTCAAAGCAGCCCGCATCGACAAGGTTATTAGCGGTGGAGTATCGAAGCTGGGCGACCTCATCTGGCGTAAGGAGTCGGATACGGGCGATGGCCCATCGGAGGCAGAGGGCACGACGACGGACGAGTCAGATACGGAGCCAAGAGGCAGGCGAAGAGGCGAGACGCCGTTGTCAAGGACTGCATCCATTCGCCAACAGAACAACAAGAACTTCCCAGATGTGATGCCAACGTTCCAATCGGACAAGTTGAGAGCCACCGAAAGCGAACCTGCTATTCCCCTGGATCCGACGTCTCGCCCGCCGAGCCGTAGGTCGCCTCGGTTTGATAGACTCAAGCCGCCACGTATCGACATTTTGAGCGCCTCGCCCAGCTCATCACCCAGCTCGGCCAAGCGACTGTCTGATCTGTCCGAGGGGGAGCCGAGATCAGGTGCCAGTGAAGGAGTCAAGGAGGCAGACAAGCGGCTCAACTCCATTCTCACGATGCCCCAGGCCCTATCGCCTGACGCTCAGCCGCCTTCGCAGCGTAGTCGCCACTGGTCAATTTCCGATCACAGCCCGGCGCCAGATCGCGCCCCCATGTCGAAGCGAGAGATCGCCCGCCTACGCGCTCTGGTTCTCAGTTCCGGCATCAAGGCAATGGAAATCACTCGCCGCGCCAACGAACCGCGCCCCATATTTGCTAATGAAAGGCGCCCGTCACAGCATGACTTGCAAGTCGCCAACGTCTTCTGGCCGGAAGTCGCCAAACTCAGCACCGACCCCTCCATCCGCAATAAAGCCGTTCCCCAGACGGAACTGTACCAGTTCGCGGCCAAGACTCTGGGCACATCGATCCAATGCTCCGGCCAGGAATGGCAAAAGTCAGCAGACACCTTCGTCTCGGAGACAGTCCCCGCGCTGCATCGTCGTGTGGAGGACGTCCGCCGCCGTGTGGCCACAGACCTGTCAGCCATGACGCGCGCAGCGGCCGACGAAGCCGACGAGACCAGCCGTGATCTGACGCTCGGCCAGCGGCTGAAGATCAAGCACACCCTCGACGTGATCGAGAAGATGCTCCGCCGGCGCAGACGTAGGTTCCGCTGGGTCCGTCGGGCCATGTGGCTCGCAGTCGAGTGGGTGCTAGTCGGTTTCATGTGGTACGTGTGGTTCGTCGTGATGATCCTGAGGGTCTTTTGGGGCATTGGGCAGGGCGCCGTTGGGGCTGTGAGGTGGCTGCTGTGGTTGTGAGGTCCTCCTGTCGTGACGGGCCTTTGCATTTCCTATTACTACACTTTACCTACTGTCATTACATGCATAGCGAGACTGCATCATCATCATCATCAGCAAGCTACGGAGTCGAAATTTCTACTTTTTTGGATGTTTGCTGGATACAGACGAACGGCGGGAGGAAGGGGGAGAGCTACACAAGAAAAGAGAAGAGGCAAGAGAGTGAGAAAGATGAGGGGAGGGAGAGTGATGATACCCGATGAGAAAGGGGGATTACCGGAAGACACTCCCTGTTGCGTTTTTGTTTCTGTAATCGCTCGGGCTTTGCGCGTAAACACATTTTCTTCTTTTTTGGTAGGTTTAGGAAAACACTTCTTCGTCGGGCTCCTTTGGATAGCCGGATGTAACTACGGCTGAGCCGGGCGAGTGGGTTGGGGATATATAATAATGATACATAACTTATCTTCTTCAAAGTGGTGTTGATATAATTGTGTGAGTGGACTGATGGGTTTCTGTTTCGTGTGTTGCTGGCGTGGAACCTCGTCAAGGCAGACGATGCTGGGTTACGGTGGTTCGCGTTGAGACACATCTTCGTCGGTCATCATGTGCTATTTATTGCCGCGCGCTGAGCGGCCCTTCCCAAAAGCTCAGACGCGCAATCTAGACCCATATCATCACTTGCGGTCTGTCGCAACACTTCATATCTTACAACATGTTCGCTCAACACATCTTGCAGCAGACGGGCGATGCCCTCCTGGCTTCGTGTGGCCGACCGAAGGTGTGTATGGGAGGGACATCGAATACTCCACGGAAGAAGAGAATGGCGGAGAACGGAGTCTGGAAAACAAGCCTGCGAGGGCGTGAGCGGCAGTAACTGGGTGATGCCTTAGACGCCCATGTCAGCGCGCCGGCAGAACGCAGTGATCAATCAGGACTGGCCGAGAAGCAGGCATGGTCCTTGTAGATTTCGATTGTAGACTCTCAGAATCCAGACCCGAGGAAGCCCCATTTTATCTTGCGCGCTACCGCCGGCGGACTTGCGGTGATGACTTGAATCGTTTTGCGTCTCGGCTAGAGCCCCTGGAGAAGGAGGTAGTAGATGGTGACGGTTATGTGTATTAAAGCATGACGGAGTAGAGACTTGAGAGGGCAAGAATCTTTTCGCTCGTGCTCGGGGTGTGACTGCTTTTCCGCAATTGGCTGGTTGAGGAACCCTCGCGGGAGAATTGAGAGAGAACGGAGTGGTGGGACAGTGTGATCTCATATTTGTATGTGGTCTGGCGTTGTTGGGAGTTGTCGTCTGTAGTTGATTCGGTCACAGCAGTCGGCGTATTCGGGGTTGGAACCTCGGGTGTGTAATGATCAGAGGCAGTGTGGTGGGGAGGAGGAGATACAGAGCCTCGCCATGGTCCTGTCTTCTTCGGCGGCATTTGCGTCTCTCTTTGAAAGATTCTTGATTTCCGAGCATCGTAGTGGGTTTTATACTGGACGTCTTCGAGTTCAAGCCTGCAGCAGCTTTTATATGGGATGAAGGGTGGGTATAAAACTAATAACATCGACGCAGGAATGTCGAAAGCAAGCAAAACAATATCGAAATGGTTTCTGACATGTCGAGTTTCCCGCAATGAAGCTGCGGCTCCAGGACGTTCGAGTTAAAGAGGATTCGATTGGAAGGTAAGGTAGGTGAGTTGGTCTGGACTCTGGCGAGTGGCCTTTGCCGGAATCGCCGTCTGCAGTATATCCCCGAGGAAAAGTGAACGTATTCGTCTGGCGCATGATCAGAGAAGAGGAATTGAGGTCTTGAGTTTTGACGGCTGTAGTGATTGATGCGTTGGTCTCGGTGGCAATTTTGGAGGCTGCCTCACTTAAGATGCGGTATGTCTCAGCGGTACATTTATCGTTGAGAACTCGTTACTCCTTTGGACGCGGCGGCTTATTTATATATGCTCGAGAGCTTGCTGTTGGTGATTATGGGTAGACGATTTATTGTTTCCAAGCGTAAGGCTTGCGGAAGAGGTGAAAGGGCCGAAATAGAGGAAAGACATACCTAGTAGTTATATTTAAATGCAATTGGTTTCTGAAGATGGTCTGGGACAATGGTCGTTGTTGCGAAAACGTGTTATTTGAGAGATGCGGCAATGGTGTTTTGTTGATGGTCTGCGTATCTTGGCACTAAATACAGCATTCGCTGCTTGCATGCAGCCTAACGATCTTCGCCATTCACGCTGCTGTCCTGGTCTGTTTCTCGCGTATCGAGTAGATTTGGGGAATATGGTTCGCTGAATACTTCGTTAGAAGTGACGGGTAATCAGACGCGGCTACTTACAGGCACATATGCTGGAATATTTTGAGTGGACGATTGTGGACATGATGGGTATTAATAGCCATGGTTTCTACTAGCTTCTACCATTCTCATTGTTGAGGTTCCAAAGATGCATCACAGCTGGGGAAGTTACTTGTACACAAGATGTGAAAGCGACTCGCCACTTGAACTTAGACATCAGTCATAGCGAAAGCTCCGTTTCTGGCGTAGTATATAAAGTCCGAGCTAATGAAATATCGTGGACCCCAACTAAATGTATTGCCGTTCACAATCTTCAGGCCTGATAGAACAACCGTCGCGGAAGTGACATCCCGGCAAATATGACAGCAACCTGACTTGGAGATGCTGATGCTTCGTCACCGCCCTCAGGTCTTTCTGGGCTTCATCTTCTGCATTCTATTCAGTTATTATTCCCGGAGGTATTCTGCAGACCACGTTAGAGCGACCTTTTATCGACGGATCTGCGGTTCCTTCAAGAGTTGTTAGTTACACGCAACCTCCTGTCTGCATTGCGACCCTGTGTCCATGAAAATCTTATTAATACCACTCCAACAGCCGGAAAACTCTATGAAAATCTCTCTTTGTTTCAAGGGAAAGAGATCACCAATTTATAGATATTGGAGCCTCATGTCTGTTGGCCACTCGCCCGGACCGACGACTTCCTTGTAGATGGTGCTGCCTACCTTCAAGCACGTGCCCGGTCTATCTGATCTGCTTGGGCCCATCAACCGCCCCGATCCATGCTCGCAGCAAGTTGGTCCAGTCTTATGTACCATCATGGATTGACTTTTCTTATTCGGGGGCTATCCGGGCGGATGGTGATAATAGGATATTAGTAGTAATCAGTACGAAGACAGCAAGGACGGCGACGGCGGCGGCGGCGGCGACGACGAGTATAACGATAATAATAGAGGAAACTATCTTCATATATAGCTTATAGGTAGCGAATAGACCGAAGAAGGGAGAACGGCGCAGCGCGTGACCGAGCATGACAAGGCTAAGTGGGCCATTAAGGCTCTCATGGCCTGGAAACGCCACCACACGAAAGATGACTCCTCAACCAAAGTGGTCTTCCCAAGAGGTTCTCACGGCCATGAAAGCCCTGCTGCTGCCCTGTGCCCATCCCTCTTCCTCTTCCTGCAACCCACAACAAGTCAGAAAATATTGAATACGTCTAGCCAAGTACGGGCTAATCATCACTACCTCTGATCAATTTCAGCACCCAATAATTCAACGACCCAATCTCACTTCGAACGACCCCGCTGAAAAATGAAGCTCCGTTCGAGAACCATATACTCGGCCGGCGCTGCCAGTCACCTGCGATGGGCAGCCTTGCCTGCGGAGATTCGACTGATGATTCTGGAGCAAGCTGAGATCGGAAATATCAAAGCCCATGATTTGTCGAATTGGGCAAGAGTCTCGAGGGAATGGCAAACCTTCTTCGAACCGCAAATTTTCCACCACCTGAAGCTTCAATTTCCTGGTTCTGATATCGACGATCTGAACTCTTGTGTTCACGGCTATCGAAGAGATCTCGTCAAGAAGATCTCACTTCACGTAAGAACTGAAGAGTACGATTATGTTGACAAATTCGACTGGCCAGAGAGCCGAGATACGATCAAGGCAAACAATAAGGTCTTCAGTCAGGCCCTGAAGAAATTGTTTGTTTCTCTTTCTACATGGTCTTATGACTCGCCTACGGCTGGCATCAAATTAAGCTTGTCCGCCGGCTCTCCGAGCGATCCAAGCCACCCTTTGGAGCATCACACAGGCACTCAGAGGAGTCAATTTGATAGGATGCGTATTTCCTCCTTGAGCTCTAGGCAGCGTCTTCTTGGCAACTTATTAGACGCTAGCTCTGGCGCTCTCAAGCTTCCTCAGGTCTCTGTCGTCAACATGTTTTCTGTAAATCAATATTGCTACAGAAGCCTGACGAAGACCTTACTTGCGAAAGTTTTTCATAGCCTTTGTCGTCTCAAAACTATCAACTACGAGCCATGGCAAGCAATTACTCCTTTCGAACAAATTTCCCGCGACGAGGCAACAACTATGCTGCTCGACTGCGCGAGCGGATTGGCCACGTTGGACTCTGTGCATATCTGGGAAGCGAAGTCTACACTGAATGAACCCGCATATTTCTACAGCTTTGGCGACAGATTTGGCAAGGAAGACCTTGTCTCTCGAGCGGTCGATGCAAGCTACTGTCTCCAGTGTTTTACCGTTTGTCACGCTGTTGATGCCAGAGACTTTTTTTGGCATGCGTCGGGGGATGCGCCGGCAGACCTTTCTCAGCCATCAGATGGTCTTGGTACATGGCCAGCCCTCAAATACCTAGCCTTGACGACGCATATCGAAGACCTGGTATCCAGCCCGTCAGCCCTGGAAAGTCTGCTTCTTCAAGCAAGTTGGGCCGCTTCGCGCATGCCTTTACTGGAAACAATGGAAATCTGGGCCTCAGGCTCCGACAAGGGGTTCATCTTCAGATATCACGTTCGGGAAGGCTCGCCATCGCTTGCCGTGATAGCGACATGGCAGCTCACATTGAGCGAGAAGGCTTTGGGTGCATGGAAACAAGTGGCAGCTAGCTGTGAAGGACACAAATTAACCTACGACGTGAAGTTGACGACGTCAGAACTACCAAACTTTCCTTGTAATCTGTTAAAACTAGGTTCACAACTGAGGGAGTGGAAACAATTTTCGAGTTTGTAGCAATAGATTCACAAAAGCATTGCTATGTTATGAATTTGGATCAACTACAGACACGCATATCGGGTTTCTCGTATATTTTGAATGACTACGTGCGACGCAGACAATGATCATGTGAACAATGATGACGATGGACGACAACGGACGACGACGACGACGACGACAGTCAGGACAACAATGAAAATTAGGACGATGATAACAAAAGGAGGCATCTTTCAATAGAGCTTATATGTAGTCGTCCGCTCGTTTCGCCACAGGTATCCGCCCGGATAGCAAAACTCCGTGGATTCCCGGCAACCGGAGAAGCTGAATATTTGATGAACTTTCCACCGGTGGTTGCCTTCTTTAAGCATGCCATGAGTGTATTCTTCATTTAATGACCAACACCTTGAGCAAGCAGAGCTGTCGTGGGGGTATACTAGGTCATCGTTCAACATGTCACATTGTTTAACGCGAGATCCACGCTTAAAACCACCCGATGACCTCTTTGACATTGCTGGTTTGGTAAAGGCTCTTTTTCACTTTTAATTGAAAATGCTGCTCCCAGATGAGCAGCTTTAGACTCGAGCTTGTCAATCATAGGGCACATCACATGTCAATGTGGGTGCCCTCGAGCGTTTTCAGTCTACATCCCAAGATGGTGCGTTCTCCGACGAAGAATCACGAAATCGAATGCTCAGCTTTGTAAACTCACATGCATTTCTTCTGGCTTTATCACATTCCATATCGTGTTTTTCATTGCCGGTCAGGACTCAGCTACTCGGCGAGCTGTGTCTTACCACAGCTCCGCCTTCACCGTTTGCGACGGATTGCAAAGAAGCCTTGGCAACCCACCATAAAACAGTTTGTCTTAAAAGTCAAGACATCATCCGAACTCTATTTACGAGTTGTCATTCAGCTCGCCTTCTTGACGCCTCACATTTTCCTACACATTCAGGGATTCCTGAACAGAATTTGGACGGAGATGGAAAAGAAACTCAGTGGAGGGGGTCTGCCAGTGCTGAAAGCTGGATAGTAACTCTTCGAAGATGTTATCAAACTTTTATGTTCGCCCTGTCGTGAGGATGGACTCTAACAGGCGTTAATTGCTGAATGATGACATCCAATGATCGAAAAAGCTTCTGTCAGCCAACCCGCTGCCGTTATTTTGCGGCCCGATAGTGTTGATTGCGAGCTTATTTGGTGTGTCTCAAATATGGTATGAAAGCTGTCAAATATCCTCTGCTGCCCTAAATTTCACATGTTAGGTGAGAAGGCCGGCAACTTCGGTCTCATGACTTCCCTCATTTTTCCCCATGAAATGCTGCTTTCAGAGTCTCTATTCTAGCGTTATCACAAACATTAGAATTGCCTCATAATATGTATGTCTCAGCCTCAACATGTCATTCCTCGCGCTGTCCGAAGCTCCGAGACCTCACATACTGAAATGGCAAACGGACATGGCATAACAGCTTCTTATCACACAACACGAGAAATTTCTCACTTCCTTCGTTGCCGAAGTATCAGGGTTTGCTGTTTTCACATGCTTCAAGACAGCTTAGCGGCTCCCTCTCAGCCTCACCTGAATTAACAATTTGTTCTGTAGCAGACTGGAATTTAGGAATGAGACAACAATAAAACCCCGCAGCGGAGGGTCCCGACGGCCCGTTCCCGGAGATGTTATCGCGAAACGAGATCACATATATAGCCCATCTAGGCTCCGTTCAAGTGATTGGAGCTTATCCATGGACAGCGGAACTTCAAAATCTAAGGATTCATATTTACTCTGATACCTTTTGACCATGATTGCCACCAGCATTTTTGTTGGGCACAAGGCCTGGCGGTACTTCCACCCCAAGCCGGCGAAGGAGTCAAAGCTCGCAGCGCCACCCAGCGTTCATACTGACCAGCCCCGGAAAAACTTAGACGAGCCCCAGGTTGCGAAAGACCCTGCAGACGCTGCAAAGCGTGAGGGTCTCTCGCGCAAGAGAATCATCATCTGCTGCGACGGTACCTGGCAGACTTCAGCCACAGGACGGAAGAACGTTCCTTCCAATGTCACACGGCTAGCACGCTCCATTGCTCACAACAATCGACCGACTGGCAGTGATGATAGCCAGGCCCAAGATGACAAGATCCAGCAGATTGTGTACTACAGCCCAGGTATCGGTACCGGCGACGGCGTTAACATCCTTGAGAAGGGACGCCAGGCAGCGTTCGGCGATGGCCTTGTATCTGACGTCATCAAGGCTTATACATTCGTCGTCATGAATTACTCTCCTTTCGACGAGATCTATTGCTTTGGTTTCTCTCGAGGAGCCTATACCGCCCGCGCGGTGGCAGGTCTCATCACGGACATCGGTATCATCAAGCCTCAAGAATTGGATGACTTCCCGGAGCTCTACCGCCTGTATCGGAAGTGCAGCAACAATGACAGCTTCGGGTTCCGCAAGTCCCCTGAGTACCGAACCTGGATCATGGGCGTCGAGAAGAAGGGAGTCGAGTCTTGGGTCACGGACACAAGCCGATCCGATAACAACTGGTCCCAGGTGCCGCACTCCCTGCCTCCTGAGTTTACGAGAATTGTCCACGTTGTCGGCGTTTTCGATACTGTCGGTGCTCTGGGAATACCTTATATGGGCTGGACCCAAAAATTGAGCAACGAGGTTGCTAAGCACTTTCGATTTCTCGGCATTGATGAATATGGGTTCCACAACCCTTCCCTGAGCAGGTGTAAGTAATGAATATCGCTTGGGATTTGCGACATAGAGATTGACTTTCCAATGCGCAGACATCAAGCATGCATTCCATGCCCTAGCACTGGACGACAAGAAGACTGCATTCACACCAACTCTGTGGCGCCTTCCCACCGATGACCAACAAGCTCCTCGACGTCGTCTGGAGACGAGAGAAACGCTCGCACAGGACCTCAGGAAGCTTCTTAGTATCAAAAACCCGAACACAGAGACGAGGAAGAAGATAAATGACGCATGGAGCGCCATGGTAGATCGTGAGATGTGGGATCAGCTGAAAGACGAGCACTCGCCCGATGACAAGCCAGAATTTTACGAACCGAAACTCCAGCAAGTTTGGTTCCCCGGTAGTCACCAAAACATCGGAGGCGGTAATCCTGGCATTTTGATGGGAGCACCATTTGACTGCGAACGTAAGCATTTCCTCCCTCCCTGAATGCAATTCGATTGCTGACCATGGCAGAACTCGCGCTCATCTCCTTCACCTGGATGTGCGACCAAGTCAGCCCCTTCCTCCGATTTGATGACCAGCAGAAAGAGGCATATGGAGGCAAGCCGAAAACCTTGTCAACCCTCGCAGACCGCGAAATTGAGTCACGCGGGAAGCTCATTGAATTTTCGAGGCAATTTCGAGGCCTTCACTACAGCTCACTTGTGAAATTCGGCCGTCAGTTACTCGTCTTCTTCAGGCTAGTGAAGATGGGCGAAGACAACCAAGATTGGGCCCTGGGACCCATAATTGGGGATACGTCCTTCATCGACGGGCGATTGCTTCTTAGCTCGCTCGCACGCTTGCTCTTCCGCTCACTCTTGAGCTTGCTTTTTGGCTGGCTCTTCCGCTTCTTCTTGAACGACAGAACTCCGGGCGAATACAAACTAGACGGTCATCAGAACGCTCCTGGGATCACCAAAGAGCAAGTCCATCCTGCCGTGAGATATCGTATGGAAAAGGATTCCCGATATCGCCCTGGCGCCCTCAAGCCCTACAAGTCGGAAAAGAAATACACTAATGCTCGTGGGGGAAATCGGTACGTGTACAAATGGGCTAACGGAAATCTGACCCTTCCGGAATACGTGGTCAAGCCTGAGGATCTGATCTCGCGCCAACTGATCAATCGGTCCGACCTTAGTAGGGAATGGTTCAGAACACTTTGAAGGGCCAAAATGCTTTGTTGGGAAGGCTGGATGTCTGACCTCCACCTTAGTAACAACTAGCTATAGGTCTTTCTAGAAATAGTGTGTGATGGAGCAATTGCTCGTACCGACGGCAAAATCTCTTTTGTAACAACCCAACATGTTGAACTTCTTTACAGTTTTAACCTCTTGTTTTCAATCAACAAGCCGAGACTATGGGAGCCTTAGAATTAGCCCTAATAAGATTTGTTCTTTGGATTTCCAGGATCTGCTGGACATTTCTCCATCACTGCCCTCTCAATTCTCTCATTGAGCAACGAGGACTATTAGCGGAAGTCTTCGGATGCCTGTACCCGAACCTAACTTCAACCAAGGTGGCCTTCAAGCCACAGCTCTGCAAATCCCCCAAATTTGGACCGCAACTCCTGTAATCAGCACCTTCACCAGTAACGTCACAAATGTATTCCAAAATGGGGTATCTGAATAAATCTCTCTTCGAGCAATTCTATTTTTGTACAAAAAGTCAAGGATATCTATCGCGGCGCTGAGCAATGCGTTTCTACATCTAATTCTATTATGCTAATCCCCATCACGACTTGGGCGCCTCGGCTTTCTCCTCGCTCACAACCTTCCCAGCCTTCCGGTGCCTCCATTCCCTCGCCAAGAAGGTTAACGAAACACACAGTCCGAGGCCAGCCAGGCCGATGCCCATGTACATCGCGCCCCTGAAGCCGACAAACTTGTCCTCTGTCGTCTGCGCGCCGCGGTTGACGTGGACCTCCACGGTGCCCGCGAAGCCAACGCCCAACGCGATGCCGTAGTTGACGACGGTGTTGACCAAACTGGCACCAATACCCTGGTGCTCCCGCTTGACGGCGTTTGACAAGATGAGCGTCGCGGCGGGGAAGCTCATGTCCATGCCGAAAGGCATGATGAGCATGGACACGAAGATCTGCGCCCAGTAGATCTGGTTCTCGGGCGCCGTCGCCGTGAGGATGACACCGGTGGTGAACGCAACCAGAGCCATCGTCATGACTACCGCAGGACGGACCTTGAGAGGGCCAAGAAGCTTACCGGTGATCACAGCCGCGATACCACCGGTGACCACAACAGGCGAGAACCACGCGCAGGTCAACAGCGGCGACAGCGTCCGGATCTCCTGCAGGATCTGCACCAGGTACAGCGTCCACACGCCAAAGGTCGCCCATCCACACACGACAGCCGCCAGCACGAACGCGACGTCGGCGTTAACCGCGTCGAACGGCAGCAGCGGCTTCTCGGCGTACTTGAACTCGATCGCCGCGAAGACGCCGAACAGGATGAGACCGAGGATCAGCGGAACCAGGACCTCGGGCGTCTTCCACCCGACAATGGGCGCCTGGTTCCACGCAAAGTTGAAGAGCACCAGCGCGACGATGCCGGTGACGGCGCCGGGGATGTCGAGCTCGACCATCATCTCCTTCAGGCCGCGCGGCGGGCCCATCTTGCGCTGCGGCTCGGGGATGATGAAGAAGCCGGCCACGGCCAGGAGGGCGAGCCAGATGGAGAGCGCCCACAGGGCCCACGGCCACCACTCGAGCTCGAGCACGGAGGCGATGGCGGCGCCGCAGACGCCGCCCATGGGGGCGACGGCGCCGAAGAAGGAGAAGACCATGGCCTTGCGGTGGCCGGGCGGGTAGGCGGCGCCGAAGAGGGCGAGGGCGTTGGGCAGGCAGATAGCCGGGCCGATGCCCTGCAGCACGCGGGAGAAGACGGCGAGGGTGAAGTTGGAGTAGACGCTGAGGCCGGCGATGAGGGACCAGACGGAGAACCAGGAGAAGCCGATGATGAGCATGCGCTTGTAGCCGAAGGCGTCGCCTAGGCGGCCGGAGAAGAGGATGAAGGTGCCGACGGTGAGGGAGTAGCCGGCGACGAGCCACGCGAGACGGGCTGGGTTGTCGACGTGGAATGAGCCGCCGATTACGTGCAGGAGGACGAGGGTCTCCATGTATGCGGCCTCTGGATATTTTGTTCAGTCAATCATATTCATCTTACATGATGTAGAAGAGCCATAGATAGCTAGCTATGAGGGAGACTCACGGGTGCAGAACTGCGCCATGCAGCAGATAGCTACAAAGAGCGCCTCACGGGGGAACGACATCGTCGTCACGGGCCAAACCTCGGAGGCATTGGTCTGCGTAGGCGCAAGACCGTCGCCGTGGTCGTCGGATTCATCGCGGTTCGATTGGTCTGGCGAAGCGCTCGAGTCGTCCGGGATCGGCTTGTCTTCTTTCGTCATGTTGACATCAGGGGTCGCCGTCGCGGTCCTGTCTCCGGAGAACGAGTCGGCGCTCCTGCGCGGTTGCTGGTGCTTCTCGGGCGCCGAAGGAGAAGACATCTTGTCGTTGTTGTCTGGTGCAAAGCTTCCAAGTCCTCAGAGAGAGGAAACTAGGCGGCACCAGCTCCGAGGGGGGTAGGAAGAAGGTGAGTTGAAGTAAAGAATGATCTACCCGTAGTGAAGGCGGCGACGGCAGATACGAGCGGGACCTTTCAAATTCGCCATACCGAAGCAGAGACGCTAACTCGTTCAAGGGCCAGGCAAAGATGGGGACTGAAAGAGAAAGAAGAGCAAAAAGGGAATCGCCCCTAAAACCGGCGAGACCCAGAGCCACCCGGGGCCTGGTCTCCCTCGTCCGGAATTACACGTGGGATTGGTCCGTTTTTTCTCACAAATTTGTAAGGGTCGAATCGATTTTGCATGGCCCAGGGGGTCCCGGGATGGATCCGTTTTGATGTGATGGTGGGTGGGTTCTTCCAGGAAGACCTTGATGAAAAACTGCCTCCATTTTCAATGTCTCTCTGCTGTTTGAACATTCAAAGTTGCCAACGCCGATGGGTCAAGACTAAGAACGACTAAACTCCTAAACGCCGTCCGTCCAACCGGCGTGCGCACCGCGAGTCGGACGGCACATCAATTGGAACCACGGAAAACTCACGTTCTGCATTTCAGTCCGTGCTTGCTTACTGAGTGACAGCTTCTTCGCTTTTTTATGGACCCCCCTGTCTGGATATTTTTTCTCCTTTGGGAATACCGCCTGCGAGATCTAATCTGATGTGGCTCTTCAATTGACTCGGTGTCGAACATGATCGAATGCGATGATGCCAGTGGTCCCAGATTTCAAGGCCTCGCCGATGCCTTGAAATTCGCCAACTTTTCACCTCTTCCAGAACACCCGAGAACCCTGATGATTCACATTGAGCATGGAGGAATCAGGGCGTCTCGGATGTCTACGAGGGGGAAACATCAAGAAACAGAGTGACAGAGAGCCTGAAAACCAGCCCCTCCGCTGGCAGCCCGGAAGCAGCCATGGACCAACTTGGCACCTGCAAAGAACACCCTTTCCTCAGAAACACGGAGACCATCAACTTCCTATTACAGAGCAAGGTCACGCGGACGTTCGAGACCACTCAGCTGCAGCCGGCTCTATCTCAGCTTCCCCTCTTCAAGCATGCGCAGGGCTGAATTGCTACAAGTCCCAGCGGTAGGGGACGCCAAAAAGACGGGCTGGGCTGGTCTAGTTCCGAGCACTAAGAAGCTCTGGAAAAGCCACCAAAGAGCTGCGCAGTAGAAATCCCGCGCGCGCTTGAGGGGGAAAGGCTAAGAAGACGCCATCCCATCTAGGTCGGAAGCGGCCAAGCTGGGACCTGAGTCAAGACAAGACACTGACAAGCTGACACCGGCTCCACGTTGATGGCACCTGGTGTCGGTGATTGTGGTTTGTTCAGCACTGAACGTGCCAGTGGCTTGCTTATCGCCTATCGCCCTTGCTCTGCTGTTCGGGTCCGAGGTCGGTTGGTGGGGGTGGGAAGATTGCCTCCGGATTACGAACCGGGACGGGTTCGGATGCTGAAAGAGCATGAGTGGCGATCGGCCCGGAGGGTTTGGCTTGGAACGGCGCGCGCGGCTACCGTCATCATCCAGACTTGAGAAACCCGCGGCTTTGGATGGGTTGTCAGGGTAAGCTTGAGGTGATTTATGATGATTGGCGTTTCCTGGCTCTTCGGCCTACGTTCCGGTGGGTGTAATTGACCCCAGTTGCTGGCCGGGCTGTGATTGCTCGGAACTACGGAACGGGAATACGGAAATACGGAACGCCCATCCATCGCGAATCCTCAAACAACAGGATTTGTTGGCCGGGGATTATGACCATTCTCGAATCTCACGGTGGCGTTTCTACTTGAGGCACGGGAGAAAGGGTGATATCTAAAATAGAGTGCTGTTCATAGAAAGGAACTCAGTCGAGTTGAAGAGGTACTCAATGGATTTGAGGATGTCGCTTGACAAGTTCATCTGATATTGGTAGCCAAGCAAGAGGAGACGTTGAAAGGCAAAGTATGTACAAAACTATATTCAACCACATCAGTCACTCATCAATATTGCTCTACCCACACGACTACTTCACAAGCATTGAGAATACCAATCGTTGGCCTTGGTGCAGGTGTACGGGGACGCGCAGACAGTACACCCGCTGAACCCGCTCCCGCCGCACTGATCCCACCGGTTCGCCGTGCAGCCTCCGCCCCCGCTCGGCGGTGCCGCCGTTGTTGTCGCCGCAGGTGGCGCCGCTGCGGTCGTCGTCGTTCCGGAGCCGCCCTATTTTTAAACGATCAGTATCACATCAACAAGAACAACCCGCGAGAACACTCACCGTAATCCCAAACCACTTGAGATCCTCCGCGCCCATGACAGGCACGCTGTGCCCGACCCCAGCCCCGTAGATGCCCTGCAAATTGGGCCCGTAGATGTACTTGGTGTACTGCCCGCTCGGCGTCCCGGGCAGCGTCTGCTGCGGCGTCAGGCTGTACCCGAACACCCCGGTCCACTGCTTGATCGTCTCGTTCCAGTTCTGCGGGTACAGCGTAGTGTCGGCGCTGCCGTGGTAGATCTGCATGCGGGGCCGCGCGCCCGAGTAGCCGGGGTACATGTTGAGCGCCGTCTGCGCCCACACGGCCTGCGTCGAGATGGACTGACCCTGGCTGCAGGTCGAGTTCCAGCCGTTGACGGTGCCGGTGTAGAAGCACCCGGCGGGGACGCCTGAGTAGGCGATGCCTGCGGCGAAGAGCTCGGGGTAGGTTGCTGCCATGACATTCTTCGTCCTTGTTAGCGAGGCATCTTCTAGAAAAGAACGAGTGTTCAAAAGATGATTTTTCACGTATTTGAGAAGGGACTTACCGTCATCATGGCTCCAGAGGAGGTACCCGTCACAAAAACCTTGCTCTTGTCGCCGTTGTATTGGTTCAGAGTATACGCCACCATATTAGCGATCGCATTGCTGTTTCCACCACCGTTGTGCGTCAACGAAGCCGTCGAGCTCACGTCCCAGCAGGTGCCGCTGTACGGCGATTCTGGGTAAATAACAATCAAGCCGTACTGATCCGCGTACGACTTGTACGGTGTGTTGGAGTAGTACGCGCTCGCTGTCCCGGAACAGTAGTGAATCGCGACGATGATTGGCGGGCTCGCAGCCACCTTATCGGGCACATAGATGTACATCTTTGCTCCCGACGGGTTGGCGCCGAAGCTGGTCACCTGTTGGAGGGATGCAGCGGCGGCGATGCTGCCGCTGAGGGCGGCGGTTAGGAGGTTGAGGAGACGCATTCTGGTGATGTTTAGTCTGGCCTTGATGCTGGGTTGAGCTGCCTGCAAACACCGGTTTCCCATCATGTGGGTTTTGAGAAGAAGGCGTCCGTCTTATACCATGTTGCCTCCGTCAAGATCGCGAATGAGGCAGCGGATGTGATGGCTCCGGTGGGTGTTCAGCTAGTGGCTGCGACCCCTCCTCCATGCGAGGTTCCGGGACCTCTCCGGGTCACGATGCGACCTTCTGCTCGGAGCTACGGGCGTGGCTTTGGGTCATCCCTCTCAGGCCTGAGAGGTGGGTGACGGCCTTTCAACCCCAATGATGCGTTTTGATAACTTGACATTAAGCGTTCAGCAAAAACATCAGTTTTTGAGGAATTCATGTCGCTTTGAGAACTGTTTCTCATCAGAAAGAGAGATCACGGACGGTATGCTAGATATCCGTCCCTGAACCGGAAGTATTCTCCGTGAGTGGGGCCGTGCGATTCCGCCAATAAAGGCTTCGGTGGCAATACCATCGCTACTGTCTCTCATGTTGAACGAGCGCAAGTATAAGATGAAATTGTTTCCGAAGGACTCGCTGTGCAAACCTTCTTTGCATGCCAAACAGGACTTCGACAACACGGTAACGCCTCAGTACCAAAGAACTGGCCTAGCCTAGGCCATATTGGTTCCCATCTCGGACGTCACGACCGGCCTACTACCGGATTCTGCCACACTCTCACTTGTCAATGCGACCTTCCCCGTCTTCCGGGTGAGCGGAAAGCACTTTTAGAATCAATAGTATCTTTCCTCGTTGTGTGTCTATACATAATGTTACCCATTGAATATGTCCCACGTGGAGGAGACATCAGCCGCCATTTAGCCTGAACCCAGCCGGTTGAGCCTCTCTGAATATTTCATATACCCGGTCAGGTCACATGTGCAACATGCGGAAAGCGCCACTGTCTGAGAGAGCTCAAGTTGAATTGAGAAAGAGATAATGAATCCAAAGTTTTGGTATCCGCTCCATGCCCGTTGAACGCCTTGCCATGATGCACGATGCATGTATGTACACCACCCTACTTCCCCGTCCGGCTCCTCAGCGTCTTCAAGCCCGTCCGGTGCTCCGTGTGCTTCTTGCTCAGCTGCTTCTGCCGTATGAACAAACTCATCACCAGCCCTAGCCCCGCGAACGCGACATAGACAATATACATCGTCCGCAAACTATTCAAATACGCGCCCCTTGCAATCTGCCCCTGCTCGCCCTGCAACCCCGCCACCACCCCCACGCTCGACGCCGCGCTCGAGCCGGACAGCAAACCCGCCAGCTCCGGGCCCAGCTCCGCGAGCAGCCGCGGGTGCTGCTTCTGCATCTCGTTGTTGAACACCACGCCGCCGATCACGACAGAGATGGACGTCGCCATCTGGCGGATGAAGCCGAACGTCGACGTCGCGGCCGCGATGTCGCGCGGCTCGACGGACGTCTGCACCGCGATCAGCGGCGACTGGAAGTTCGGCCCGATGCCGAGCCCCGCGACGATCTGGTACAGCACGATCTTGGTGAAATTCCGCTGCAGCGGCAGGTCGTGGAAGAGCCCGAACCCGAGCGTGGCGACGGCCATGCCCGCGATGATGAGGTAGAGGTAGTTGCCCGTCTTGCGGATGACGTAGCCCGCGAGCGCGGACATGAGGGACAGCGAGAGGACGTAGGGGAGCAGGTAGACGCCCGAGAGCAGGGACGAGACGCCCTGGACGCCCTGGAAGTAGAGCGGCAGCCAGTAGGAGCCCGAGATGAAGGCGAAGGCGTGGCAGAAGGCGGTGGCGAAGGCGGCGAGGTTGGACCAGTCGCTGAAGAGGTGCATGGGGATGACGGGGTAGCGGGCGTACTTCCACTCGTTGACGGTGAAGAGGCCGATGGTGAGGATGCCGAAGACGATGAGGCAGATGACGGTGGGCGAGCTCCAGGGGTAGGTGACGCCGCCGAACTCGAGGCCGAAGAGGAACATGATGGTGCCGCCGATGATTGTGACGGTGCCGATCCAGTCGATTGCCTTGAGCCCCTTGACGACGGGCGTCCGCGGGTTGTGCAGCTTGAGCACGAAGAAGAGGATGATGATGCCGACGCCGGAGATGGGGAGGTTGATGTAGAAGCCTGTGTTCATAGTCAACATTATGACTCGTTATAACAAGTGAAAGAGAAAGATAGAACTTACACCATCGCCAAGTAACCTGGCTCGTGAACACACCCCCAATGACAGGTCCTACGGCCGAGGCCACAGCCCACACCATGCCCATGACGCCAAAATACACCCCGCGCTGCCTCATGGAGAACAAGTCGCTGATGCAGATATTCACCAGCACAATAATCCCGCCGCCGCCGATTCCCTGGATCGCGCGCGCGGCAATCAGCATCGCCATGTCCACCGCCAGCCCGCACAGCAACGAGCCGACCCAGAACACGCCGACGGCGGACAGCAGCACGGGCTTGCGGCCCCAGATGTCCGAGATCTTGCCCCAGGTCGGCACGAAGGCGGCGTTGGCGAGCAGGTAGGCGGAGCCGATCCAGATGTAGCCGATGTTGCTGTTGAACTCCTGCGCGATGGTCGGCACGGCGGTCGTGATGATGGTCACGTCCAGCGCGGCGAGGAAGAGCGCCGCGCACAGGGAGAGCACGATGAGCGTCGTCTCGAGCTTGGTGCGCCCGGCCTCCGGGGCGTCGGCGTCGGCGTCAGCTGCGGTGGCTTCCGGAGCTGCATCTTGCTTTGTCTCGCCGGCGGTGGGACCCGCCTCCGGTGTTGAGGCCTCGGCCTCGGCCTTGGCGGCGGAGGCGGGTGGGTTTGCGGTCACCTCATTGTTGCTGCTGATGGAGTCGGAGCTGCTTGTCGTTGTGCCTGCGGCGCGCTCGACGTCGTCGACTTTCTCGTCGTCGTGGAGGTGGTGGTTTGCTGTCATCTGTGGGTTGTGTGGTGATGGCTCGGGTTACGATTTCCGGAGTTGTTTGCGCTTTGGGTGTTAAGCGTTGTAATTTGATGTGCGAGCGAAGACGTTCTCAGTCTGAAGAATCATCAAGGCTCTTTCCAGATTCCAAGCAGTAACAGTGGATGAGACCCAATGGATCTTGCGATGGGACCCTTTTCCCTGCTTTAAAGAGCGAACTTCGATGAATAAGTCACAGTAGCGAGTGTGACCAAAACCAATACGCAAGCGCGTGAGTATGAAAAGGAAGAGTCACGAGGTCGACCCGTCACCGTCGCGAAAAGAAAGAAAAAAAAAAAACCGAAGGCGAACCGGGCAAATTTCATTACCTAGTCGATGACCAGCACCTCCACATCCGCTCCAACGTGAACCACTCCAACCCCCCGGTCACCCATGTGGCCGCGAAGCGAGAAGCGAGGAAATCGGGGAAAGTGGGATGGAGCAACATCTTCCTCGAACCGGCTAAGACCACCGGGGAGTCTGGGCCGGTGGTGGACGTCGAGATTGGCGTCGCTTGCCGCACTGCCGCGCTGCCGAATCGGCGAAAATTAAACAGAGAATGCTTGACTGGGAAAGTTTGCTCATGTTTCCGACGAATTTTGCAGCACAGCAGCTTGCTCGGGAAAGTGAATGACACATACGTAGGACTCAAGCTAATCGGAACGAATGTTCATCGGAGTTAGCAGGACATCCTCGGGCTTGCAAAGCCGCACCTCCTTGAGCTTGGATACGGAGGTTGTCAGCAGCCGCCTGTTCTTCTACTTTAGTCTCGACCGGACGGGACTTCATATGACCTGCCTAATTCGTTCCATGCAGTAATTAGCACGACGACTAGAAAGCCTGTTGTCCGATTCGACAAGTCGGTGAAGCTCTCGCTCATGTAACTTCAGGGCGCGTTAACCAGGCACTAGCCAGACTCTAGCGATGGCTTGGTAATCACAGCAGCATTCCCTCAAAAGACGTGCTCATTGCCGTCGTATTTACGACACTGATGCGACGAGACTAATACATGATACATGCACAGGAGAAAAGCGGCATACCATACATCGGACGGCTGACGCAGCGAACCCAAGGAGGAACCGGACGCTTTGCAGCGGGAAGCAAGGGGCTTCCCCGCGCGTCCACGTTGCCCCCCGCATTCGATGCCTCATCCTTGACGCCGTGATTGTCCAGTCATGATCGGATCGGATCTGCCGCTTTGCCATTTACAGTTCGCGGCTCTCCGGTGTCGCTACTGCCGCTTTTTCGAAGCTCACGGATAACAGAACGTTATCTAGTCGATTGGTTGGTTGGTGGTATGAATGGTAGGGTATTAACTCATAATTCATTACTCTTTAATTCTAAGTCTAAATTCTAAATGGTATCGTTCTGCTTTTGCTGTGCTTAACTGATTATTACGCGGTCGTTCTTGATATTCTTCGCAACGTCAAACGGCTTCGGCTTCTGCCCCAGCTGCGTGAGGCTCTTGTGCAGCGTGTGTCCGCCGGCGCCGGGACCTCCGGGACCAGCACCGGGGCCGCCCGTCCCGTCCTGCCTCTCCTGGTCCCACCCCGCCGGCGCCGGCTGCATCCCCCGGACGGCGCACACCGCCGCAAAGTCGAGCGTCGGATACCCGCACCGCTCCGGTCTCTTCTCGCACACCCGCGACGTCGCCACGATAATCGCCGCCGACAGGCACAGAATCGTGCTGCTGACGAGCACGAACAGCACCCTGCTGACCTTCCCCGCGACGACCTGGTGGCTGAGCACGGAGATGGAGAGGTCGGTGTACATGTCCGCCGGCAGGCCCTCGCGCGGGCCGGTCAGCTCCCAGATGGAGGGGCCGTTGGAGAAGTAGTTTGCGTGGAAGTAGTGGAAGGGCACGGACATGGCCTTGCGGATGGCCTTGAGGGACTGCTTCTTGGCGACCTCGGAGTCGTTGATGGGCAGCGCGGTGACGGCGTAGATTGCGAGGGCCGAGTTGTCGCCCTTGGTGGCGTCCTGGCTGCTGCTCGCGTTGAACCCGGGCACGACGGCGGAGAGGGAGAGCATGTAGTCGTCGAGGGTGATGATGTCCTGCTTGGCGGGCGTCATGTCGGTCACGGCGAGGATGGAGAAGTTGCCGCGGTCGTAGGTGATGGTGGCGAGGCGCGAGTAGACGAAGAGGGAGGAGGAGATTTCGAGCTTGCTGGTCCAGGTTGTGTCGTTGATGCAGGAGCTCGTGGCCTGCATGGAGATTGGGCAGTATGCGGAGCCTGGTGTGAGATGTTAGCATCCTTGCGATATGCAAGTGGGATGGCAGTCTTACCGAAAAGGAGTGCGTTGTTGTCGCCGGTCTTGGCACACCAGTAAGACGCGGCGCTGGCGGCTCCGAGAAGGAAGCACTTGCCGGTCTTGCGGAGGTTCTCGAGATCCGGCACCTTTCCGTACTCGAGCTGGACGACTCTCGTCTTGGGAACAACGTAGGAGGCGGACCCCGGGAGCTGCTTCAGGTCGTCTGTTTGCGGAGCAATGGCGACGACACCGCCGGTGAGGAGATGCGACTCATCACACGGAGCCCAGTTGCCGTCCGGCCCCGTGCACTTCCCGACGCCCTTGGTCAGGGGGTCCAGAGAGAAGGAGTCTCGGTCGGACCACGCGGGACTGCCCATCTGCACCAGCAAAGCGGTCGCCGTGGAGTTTCGGACATGATAGACATTAGAGGCATTAAAGGGGCCGATGCCGGCAGATACTGGGTAGGTCTTCTCGGGGAAAGTGACCATTTCGATGGAGATGGCGCCTGGAATAGATGTCAGCATGAACTCGTGGTATTAGTCTGAAGACCTAACTCACCCATGAGAATGATACCAGGTAGGGGAATCGAGCAAATGACCAACAACCTGTCCGATGTCAGCACGCCATCTCTTCATTCGAGCGCCATCACCACTCACCGAAACAAACTCGAATACTTCTCCTTCCAATCCGCCGTGGCCAAAAGCCTCAACAGCCCCCACACCCCCGTCCCGGAATCCAATCCGACAAAGTGCAATAAGCTCACACCCCCAGGCCTCGAGGCCAGAGCCCACTGCAGATCCTCCACCACGACAACCACCAGCGCCGCCAACACCACCGCGCAGAGCTCCGTCAGCACGCGCAGCAGCAGAATCGAGTTCTGCGGCGACGCCACGAAAAAGCTCTGCTTCATCAGCGCCTTGGCCGACCCCGTCGAGTACAGCCCCGTCAGCGTCACCATCAGCGCGCCCAGCAGCCACAGCGCCCACGTCCACCACAGGAAGCTGCTGCCGCCCGCCTTGCCCCCCTCGGCCCCCGGCGGCGCGTTCGACGTCAGGTGTATCGTGTCGTTGAACTCGTCGCGCTTGCGGTCGAACGAGGCCGCGCTGGCGCTGCTGTCCATGGCGTCCGGCGTCGGCGGGTGCAGGAAGTTCGTCTGCGAGACGCTCGTCCCCAGCGGCGACGGGAACGCGGACCCGGCCTTCTCCATCTTGGCGTATCGCGGCCAGTCCCTGATATCGTCCGTCCTCGCGCTGTCGATGCTATGCCGTGCGCCGTAGAAATCCGTCGTCCCGTCCGTCCGCCGCGACCACGGCCGTGTCGGAGCGGCGGCACCCCCGTGCGAGGCCCGGATGTGTGCGCTTATATCCTCGAGGTCGATCGTCTCCCGCCGCGCTGCCTCTGTCGAGTTCCTCCCCATCGCGGTTGGCGAGTCCCCATACGGTGAGGACGTGGCGCTGTGTCGCCAGATCGTTCGAGCCATTTGGTGGGTGGTTCGGTCCCGAGTTGTGTTAGTGTACGGCGCCTTAATGCAAGACGCTCTGCGCCTGCCCTTGTCGAAGAGAAGTTGAATGAATGGTCCGTGATGGGCGTGAGTAGTAGAAACGAGCGTGGGCAGTTGATAATATGTCTATGTTATGGCGTTGAAAACAAAAGAGAGCATTTCTTGGTTTGACAGAGAGAGTCAAGAGAAGAGACAGCACGCCATTGAGTTTCCCATTTTCCATGCAGTCTGCCCCCAACAGAAACAGCGCCGTCGCATTCTTGACTGTTTGGTCTTGGCGAGACCGAGCCCATTTGGCGGGTTTCCAGATCACCAGAAAAAAACAGGCCGGCGAGTCAGTCGCCCAGGCAAGCGAGTCGTGACACCCCGGACAGGCTCTCTGCTGCCAGATGAACCGCCATCTATGTGAGACTGGAGAATGCGCGACGACTGGTCGAGATGATCAAACCCGTGGAGGGTCCTCCCATGTTCCGGAAAGCAAATTGGGGGTCGCGCGGCGGTGACGAATTCGACGGCGAGGCCGCCGCCGCTGCTGCTGCTGCCAACGTGGAGAGCTTTTGTTTACAACGCTTGTTGTTCGTCTGTCCGTCTCCCCGCGAGTTCCGCCCGCCGGCAGCCCGGGCGGTTTGATTGATCAACGGGGGAATTGTCGCTGGGATAATCTTCTCTGGCAATTGTCAATTGACGAGGGAAACGGTCCACAGTTGATTTGTGCCAATTTCTGGGGATTTCCGTGCGTCTGGGGCAAGCTTTGAGGAGACGCCGAGAGCTTGGGTCCACGGCATCGTGAACTTTCACATATGGTGTTTTCATGCCGTGGGATTGACGGCTGCTGTTATTCGTTGCATTATTTCTGCCCATAAAAGTTGAGATGAAAGAAGGAAAAAGAGAGATGTGTGGAAACGTGCCTTACAGGGCTTAGGTCCGTTCACCGTCCCAGATCCTTGGACGGCGTGTGCGTGGGATGAGGGATCAGCCTTGGACGCCTCAAACCAGGGGTGACAGCGCTTGCTGTAAATAGCAGCAAGGGAAGAGGCGGCATTGAAGGAAATCCCGTCTTAAGGGGGACGGCAGCCCTACCCGACCTCTGGCTAATGATGATCTCTCTCTTTCGTCTTCACTGGATCTGAAGCCGATGCCCGCCTAGATGTTGGGCGAGAATGCCTATCGCTCGATATGAAGAGGTGGATTCGACAAACTTCGCTGGGGGGAAAGGAGAAGGTGATTTGCCACGTATATACTCCAAACAGGGCAAGATTGGCTCCCTTGCCGACGGGCCTTGCAGAGGCCGCGCGGAAGAGTCTGGATCCGGACTCTGAATAGCCTCAACGAACAGGGCGGCGGAGGCGCCGTTGCTCGCACAACGCTGCTCCCTGTCGGTGGTCATTCCGTGAGATGTGCAGACTGCAGGACACAGAACACGGGGTCATTAGGGATTGGGGTCTTCTTCATAATGTTGCATTGGACCACCACCCCTGCGTCACGGAGTTGCGGGGTCCCTTGGTCCTTGGTCCTTGGTTCTGGAAGCGAGCTCCTCCCGATGCAACGGCGGTGGTGCGCCGCCCTGGCCGGAGATTTCGAGATGTTCCGCCCGACTTTACCGGTCGGCGGTCGGGTTGAATGGTGATCAAAAGGATCCGGTCGCCATCTTCAGACGATACGAGGTCCAGACGCAGTCTGTGGAGGGCTTCAATGGAGAAAATCTGCCAAAGTTGTTAGTAACTTTCCGATGCCATTCTCCACGGATTTCCGTCAATGTCAGGCAGATGCTCCAGTGAATATACTATGTTCATGAGTCGTCGCTCAACTACGAGGATAGCTGAATCATTTCATGGGACTGGCTGTCTAGTAAATCTGCGAGATTGATGTCTTGAAGTTGGATGTTGCAAGTGTCCAAAGGGAGACAGACGCAGGAGCGCGTGGGGAAACGCGCCAAAAAGACGCTAAAAATGCCGTAACGTCGTCCCAAATGTTACACACCATTTTACCCCTCCAAAGCTTCACTTCACCCCTCCAACCTAATTTGAGCCTCAATCGTCCTAACTCAACCACCAATCCAACTCACACACCATGCAACCCTGGGACCGATGACATCTTCTAGTTAACACCCAATGAGCCGTCTCATACGCCTTCTCTCATCGCCGCTCATCTCCTCCTCACCCGTCAAACCTCTCACCCGCCGCTCGCTCACCACCATGTCGGCCTCACGAACATACCAAGACGCCCTCGACCACCTCAACACCCTCATCCCGAACCTCAAAGTCCACGCCCTCTTCAACGCCCCCAAAGATAAAGATGCCTCCTCCCCCTCAAAACCGCCCGCCGACCCCAACGCCCTCGCAATCCCCGAGATGCGCGCCTGGCTCCTCCGCGCCAACCTCCCCCCCTCAACCCTCTCCCGCCTCTCCTACATCCACATCGCCGGCACCAAGGGCAAAGGCACCGTGACAACCCTCACCTCCTCCGCCGTCCTCGCCTCCTCGCCCCCATCCACAAAGATCGGCACCTACACCTCCCCGCACCTCCTCCACCCCCGCGAGCGCATCTCCATCAACGGCCTCCCCGTCCCCCAGCCCCTCTTCGCGCACCACTTCTTCGCCCTCTGGGACACCCTCTCCGCCGCTCCCGCCGACCCATCCTTGAACATCGACGCCGGCGCCAAGCCCTTCTACTTCCGCTACCTCACCCTCCTCGCCCTGCGCATCTTCCTCGCCGAGGGCGTCTCCACCGCCGTCGTCGAGTGCGGCATCGGCGGCGAATACGACGCCACCAACATCCTGCCCCCCGAAGCCGTCACGGCGTGTGTGATCACGCAGCTCGGCATCGACCACGTCGCCATGCTCGGCTCCACCGCGGAGCAGATTGCATGGCACAAGGCCGGCATCATGAAACCCGGCGTCGCCACCTTCACCCGCGCCCTCGACGCCCAGCCGGGCGTCATGGCCGTCCTCCGCGACCGCGCGGCCTCCACCGGCGCAACGCTGGTCGAGCTCCCCGACGCGGAGGTGTATTCCTGGCCTGGTGTGCCTGACGCAAAGATCCCCGGCGGCGAGTTCCAGAAGAGGAACCAGGCCCTCGCGGCCCTAGCAGCACGGCACCACCTCCGCGTCCTCGAGTCCAAGGACACCGCCATCGCCCCAGACACCTCCCTTACAAACCTCCCCGAGGGCGTCACCACAGGCCTGCGGAACGCATCCCTCCGCGGGCGCCACGAAATCATCCCCAAAGGGCGCGTCTCATACCACCTCGACGGCGCGCACAACGCCGACTCCCTCGCGCAAGTGGCCGCCTGGATCGCCCCGCTCATCACACCCCCGAACACGCCCTTCGTCCTCGTCTTCAACCAGCAGGAGCGCGACGCCGCGGAGCTGCTGCTGGGCCTGCTGGCGGAGATGAAGGCGTGCGGCGTGGACTTGGAGGCGAAGCTCACGCATGCAATCTTCACGCGGAACGATAAGGCCAGGCTCGAGGATGCGGATGTGGGAGTGCAGCAGAAGTGCGCCGAGGCGCTGCGGGCGGCGTATCCTAACACCAAAACAACGGTGTGTGCGGATCTGGGCGAGATGAAGGCCGCCGTCGACGAGATCGCATCCGCTCATGAGGAGGCGACGAAGGTCCTCGTGACGGGGAGCATGTACCTGGTCGGCAACTTGATAGGCTTCCTAGAGCCAGAAAGCCAGTTTTGATTAACCTACACCTTCTTGAAAAAAGTAATCTAGAGTTGAATCCGCGAGGAATGATATATAGATCCCCGCTGTAATGTTGAAACCCCAAAACCCCCCACATAAACGCCTGTTCATACGGACATGGTGTACTCAAAGAGCATCCGCCCCTTCGAGAATCTGCAGCGCGCCGCCGACGAGGTGCAGACTGCCCGTGACGAAGGCCTGCACGCTCTCCCCCTCCTGATTGCTCTCCGCCAAGCCGCGGACGTAGTCCAGGGCCTCCTCGATGGTCGGAATGACCCGCACGTCAGCCTGCGGATCCAGCTCCCTCCACCGCTCCGCAAACTGCTTCTGCACCGTCATGGCCTCGATGGCCTTATTATCGTACTGGTGATTCACGAAATCTGTCCGGCGTCAGCAAAGCTTCCCAACAACCCTCCATCCAGCAGAATGTCAACTCACCTCGCTTGTACCCCGTCTCCTTGTACGTCACATTCGTACAGAACACAACCCCATCAAACCCCCTCCCGTCCCTCTTCACAGCCTCATACAGCCCATCCAGAAAGTCAATCGCCTCCGTCCGGCCCTGCTGGTTAAACACCAACACCCGCCTCCCCCTCCGCGCCTCCGTCTCCCCAGCGAACCACCGCCCCGCCATCTTCAGACTGTCCGTCGTATGCGCCCCGTCCACAAACCACACCACGCTCCCCTCGTCCTTCACCTCGCACCGGCCCCTCCACACAACGTCCTCCAGCCCCTTCACAAACGCCTCAGGCAACCTCGCGGGATCAGGCTTAAACCCCTCCTCCAGCCTCTCCAACACGCTCTCCGCAAGCCGCACCGCCAAACTCGCATTCCGCCTTTGAAACTCCTTATCCGGCCGTATCCTGACATCCTTCATCCTCTCATCCACCTTCACAACCTCCAAATTCACCCCCTTCTCCGCCGCCCGCTCCTCCAGCACACCCTGCGCCTCGCCCACCTGCTCAACCGTAAACGCCCTACTGCCCGTCTTCATAATCCCCGCCTTATGCCACGCAATCTTGCCCACCGTGTCCCCCAGCGCAAACACATGATCGATCCCCAACGTCGTAATCCCCGTCGCCACGGGCCGTCCCACCAAATTCGTCGCGTCATACTCCCCGCCAATCCCCGTCTCCAGAATCGCGCAGTCCACCCCCTCCTCAATAAACGCGTGGAAGCTCACCAGCGTCAGGTAGCGCGAGTAAATCGGCCGCGTGCCGAGCGCCA